CCGTCCAGAAGCTGCTCGCAACACGTGGACGTGGTGGTGGTGGTGTTCCGGGCGATCTCGAGGAGCTGTTCGATGCGGTCATGTGTCGACTGGCGGTTGTAGTGGCGGCGGGGCACCGTGGGCATGGAGCCCCTGACCGCCGGTGTGGGCGCGCCGGCGGTGTAGGAGCCGCTTTTCATGATGGGGTCGGCGGCTGGGGTGCAGCGGGGTGAGGAAGCCGAGTGGGAAATGAGTGAGTGTGTTTGTGTGTGTGTGTGTGTGTGTGTGCGGCGGGGGGGGAAAGACGAACCATGAACGAGCGAAGCTGATGCCAGGAGGGGGGTTGAAGGTGAGGTGAGGTGAGGTGAGGTGAGGGGAAGGGGGTTGAAATGTAAAACCCAACAGCGGGAAACGCGTCATATGCCGTCAACGGCTGAGTGAAAGGCGCGACGACGTGGAGCAATGGAGGCCATGCGTGAAGAATGAGATGAGTCGTCCACCGGCCAAACCCTGCGCTGTGAGCCATGAGCCACAGCGTGTGTGCGTTTATACGTGTATGCGCATGGGTATGCATGTCTGTCTGTCTGTCTGACTGTCTGTCTGCATGCCTGTCTGTCTGCATGTCTGCCTCTGTTTGCATGTATCCATGCACCATCGTTGGGGTTCAGACACCCCTTCCAGCCAGGTTGGGCCACTGCCGCCATAAGCCCACCTCCCCACCCGCACCGCTACAGCCCCCCTCCCTGAAGCCAACGGTTGGGGCGATTCGTACAAATCCGCACCTATATCGAAGCTGTCTCGGTCTCGCTCCCCGCCGTGTCGCTCCCGCTCCCTACGCTCCTCTAGGGAGGGCCCCCTGGAGTGGGGGCCTAGCCGCGTCATCTCCAAAGATAAGGTGTCCAGACAGCTGCGGCGTCCCTCCAATGGCGCCGCCGCAGCGGCAGCGGCAGCAGCAGCAGCAGCAGCAGCAGCGGCGCTACCGCCGTTGCTGCTGTGGCTGCCCCTGCGCTTGCTGCTCGGGCTGCCCTTGGCGGTGGCGGCGGCGGCGGCAGCAGCAGCTGCCGCGTCACCCGTTTTGCGCGACGTTGACGTCCGTGTGAGGAAGCTGAGGCTGCTGCCAGCGGCGGCGGCGGCGGCAGCGGCGGCGGCGGCGGCGCCGCGGGACCAGGCGTGTACACGCGGTGGTTTCGGAGCCGCTTCCGCCAGCACCGCCGCGGCCGCCGCCACGATGCTAGTGGCTGACGGCATGCCGGCGTCGCTGGCGGCGCCCACCCAGGCCCCCACGGCAGCGGCGGCGGCCGCCGACGGCTCGTCTATTAAGCCATCGTCGACGCTGATAATGACGCCATCGACGTCGCCGTGCCCGTCGATCTTCAGGGCGTCGCCCACGTCCATGGCCATAAGGATGGTCGCATCTGGTGTCGTCACTGCCGTACCGGTTCCCGTACAAGTGCGTGTGTCTTCCTTGGACATCCGCAGCGGTTCCACCAACGACGCCTGCGGTAGGAAAGGCTCCAAGCGGGCCGAACTGTACGACAATTTGTTGCTGACCGCCAGCTTTCCCCCCGCCGCTGCAGCATCACCGTCAGCGTCCTTCACCTTGACGGCAGCGTTCGTAGACTCCAGGGTTGACGGCGGCAGCGGCGCCGCCGCCGCCGCCGAACTAGCAGCGGCGGTGAAAGCTGCAGCGTCCGTTGTGAAGGGGCTTGACAAGGTGTCCATGAGTCGACCTAGCCCCGCCGATCCCACACCGCTACAGCCGCCGGCGCTACTGCCGACTCTACCTCCGCTGCCGCCTCCGCCGACGCCGGCGCTACTGCCCAAGTTCCGCAGCTGCAGACTCAGCAGGGATGTCGCCGGCATGCCGCCGCCGCCACGTACCGCAGACGGAGAGGCCGCCGCGGTAGCAGATGTTGGCCACCCTTTCGCTTCTTTCAGCCTCCCCGCCGCCGCCGCCGCCGCCGCCGCCGACGTAGCTGAGTCCGCCGCCGAGCATACCCACGGCAAGCCGTTGGTTTCGGCGAATGATCCAGATGGTCGTACATCCAGTTGTACGTCATCCTTGAGGGCCTGCAACCCCAACAGTAGCCCTTGGACAGTGGCGTCGCATCCCGAAGATCTCTCAGTCTCAAAACCGCCACCGCCATTGCTTTCGCCGCTGCCGCCGCCGCCGCCACTGCTTTCTGTGCCGCCATGAAGACATGAAGCGCCTAAAGCGGGCTCATGCGAGGACGCCAAAGGCTCTTGAGCTGCCGCCGCCGACGGCTTAGTTATTAAACCTGGCGGCGGCGGCGGCGGCGCCGCCGCCACCGGGCGCCTGGAGGAATCAGCGGCCGAGCTTGCGTCTTGTTCCGTGGCACTGTAGGATGGGAAATCAGCCGCAGCGATTGCGGCCTCAATTGCGCAG